CACCATGAAAGCTAGAAAAATGAAAGAACAAGAACAGATTTGAAGTATTCCATAGAAACTAAATGGCAATTCTTCAAGTCATAGCCTGTAAAAGTCACCTTTCTACTATTCAGTTGAAAGAGGGGCTTTGCTTTTTTTTTTAAAAAAAACACAACTTTAACCAATTCATATTCTTTAGCCAGTATCGTGGCTTTAAACTTGAAATACACATGATGCATCTGATCAACTGTTTTCAGTTTAAGGCACAAATGACAAGCAATGCCATCTCAAAGTAGTAGAAAAGCTTTCCAAGCATTACCAAAACGCAGAAAAATTGAGAGGGTTGGGGTTTTGTTGTCGTTGTTGTTGTTGTTTTAACTGCAGTTTGCTAAAGCAGTTTGTCTGGAACAGTAGTAGTTACCAGACTAGACCAGCATACATGCTGGCTCTGGCTGCCCAGACTAAGTTATTCTGGCCCAAGCCTTGTTCCGTGCTGCCCTTAAGGAACTCACAAATCCACCCATCATCAGTTGACTAGATGCAACCAGTTACACAAGTACAAACATAATGGGATACATCCTTCCACCTTTGTGTCAGACCTAGCTGTTCTCCCAACCACAAAAACACTGGGTTTCATTTACAGGTCTAATGGAAAAATAATCTTTTCTGATTTTTGTTTTATTTTTTCTCTGAATTAGGAAGCTGAATCAACTCATTTTGCAGCCACACAGTCACTAGATGAGATGCAGGCAGGAAAGCATCCCTGGCAGCGAGTTAGAGGCGAGACTGAAGTAAGCCATTCTGTGTCACTCATTAGATGTTCTGTGAAACCCATCCTTAATTAGTCATGCAATGGAGAGACAGCACAGCATACAGCAATCCTTCCAGAAGAGGACAGCTGTCATATCCTACTTGTATTACTGGACATCACTCATCTCAACCTTCTCCACAAAACTTCCCACTCCCTCATGAAATAACATCCTTTAAAGGAAAATTAGCAATTCTTATCTAGAATAATTTTAATAGTAAATGGTATCATCAAGTATACATATTACAACACAGGAGTAAGAATAAAAATCACAGTCTACCCATTTCTGTGAGAATAAATGAGAGAGCTCCCAAGAATATGTCTCGAAAGACTATCAATAGTCTGGCTTAGAGCACAGGCCCATTTCCCTTTAGCAACTCCAAGGTGAACTCATTGGCCACAGCTTGGAAAAGCAAAGAAGAAAGAAAATAACAGACTGTGTCAATTTATGGGTTAGGTACTTGTAACAGGACCCTGGACATCTAGATATATAAATTTGAACAAGATTGTCTGAACTGCAGGTGAGTTCCTGTACCTCCCCCACTGCTTTGAACATTGGTCTTTTACATGTAAAAGCTGAAATCTTTCCTTTCAAGTATTTAAAGTGCTTATTTGCTATCACATATTTTTCTTGAAGGGGAAAGGACAGATCCTTGTAAACAATTGGTTGCACAGCTGGTGTCAGCAACTGGAACTCGTATTCTACAAACACGGGGCTGGCTTCCATACTTAAGGACTCATTTCTAGGAAAAGGTGGGATCCACTTGACAAAGAAAAAAAGTATCTTTGACAACTGGCTGACCAAAAGCAGAGCAAAAGTGTTGCTGCCAATAGGCTGGCCAACACAGCAAGGCAAGAGCAATCCAGGAAGTTTCTTGAGTGCATTGCTGATAACTTCTTAACATGGGTGACTGAGGACCCAATGAGGAAACCTGCTGGACCTCATACTTACAAATAAGGAAGAACTGGTCAGAGATGTGAAGATCAGGGGCAGCCTTGGCTGCAGTGACTGTGAGTGCTGGAATTCAGGATCCTGTAAAGAAAGAGCAAGGCAAAAAGCAGGATCACAGCCCCAGACTTCAGCAGAGCAGACTTGGGCCTGTTCAGGAGAATCTCACATGATATGACCCTGGAGAAAACACCTCTTCTCTCCAGAGTAACAGGAAAGCTGGTAGATTTTCATGGATCACCACTGCCAAGCTCAAGATTGGTCCACTCTGATGTGCAGGAAGTTGGACAAAAGTGACAGGACAAGACTTTACCTCAGCAGAGGCTAGGGAACACTGAAATGGGGCATTCCCAAGCTGCTGGGCCCTGATGGGATGCACTCAAGGGTGTTGAGGGTGCTGGCTAATGACACTGTGAGGCCACTCTTGGTAATCTTTGAAAGGTTGTGGTGATTGGGGATGTTCCTAAGGACTAGAAGAGAGCAAATATCCCTTCTATCTTCAAGGAAGGCAAGAAGGATAATTCAGGGAACTACAGGGTGGTCAGCCTCACTGTGATCCCTGCAAATGTGACGGACAAATCCTCCTGGAAGCCCTTTCCTAACAAATTATGGAGACTGAGTGAAGGCGACTGGGAACAGTCAGCAGGGATTTACGAAGGGAAAATAGGCTTGACCAACCTCATAGCCTTCTATGGTGAGATGACTGGCTCAGTGGATTAGGAGAGCAGTGGATGCTCTTGTTAATTGTGGGTTTAACAAAGCTTTTGACACTATTTTTATAATACCCTCACTGAAAAACTAATGAAGTATGGGCAAGATAAGGGGACAGAGAATCTGGATGAACTGCTGCATCCAAAGGGTTATGATTAGTTGCGTAAAGTCCATCTGGAGGCCAGTCAGTATTGATGTACCCCAGGGATTGATACTGGGGCAAGCATTGCTTAACACCTTCATTAATGACCTAGACAACAGGACAGAGTGCACATTCAGCAAGTTTGTAGAGGACACATAACTGGAAGGAGTACACCAGATGGATGTTCTGCCATTCAGAGGGACCCTGGCAGGGTAGAGGCCAACAGGTACCTCAGCAAGTTCAACAGAGGGAAATGCCAATCCTGCACCTGGGGAGGACTAATACCAGGCATCAGTACAGGTTGGGGGCCAACCAACTGGGAAGAAAGTCTGAAGAAAAGGAACTTGGGGTTCTGGTGAAAACCAAGCTGACCACGAGCCAGCAATGTGCATTTGCAGCACAGAAGGCAAACAGCCTCCTGGGCTGCATTACGAAAAGTGATGCCAGCAGGTTGAAGGAGGTGATGCTTCCCCTCTGCTCAGCCTTGGTGAGTCACATCTGGAGTGCGAGGTTCAGTTCTGGGCTCTCTGGTATAAAACAGAGTTAATCAAGGGATTGTAGCACCTGACATATGAGGAGAGCCCAAGAGAGCTGGGACTGGAGAGGAGAAGGCTCAGGGAGATCTTATTCACATGTAAAAATACCCAATGGGAGGGAATAAAGAGGACAGAAACTGACTTTTCACTGATGTCCAGTGACAGGACAAGAGGCAATGGGCACAAACTGGAATACAAGAAATGTTCTTTAAACATAAGAAAAAAGAAATCATTCTTACAGTGGGGGCATTCAAACACTGGCCCAGAGAATATGTTGAGTCTCCGCCCTTGGAGACATTCGAAATCCAGCTTGACATTGCCTTGAATTGACACTGCTCTGTGCAGGGGATTAGACTAGAAGATTTCCAGATGTCCCTTCCAAACTGAACGATTCTGTGATTAAATTTGGTAGAAAACAAGTAAAGACCTGTTAATTCGACTCTTGGATACAGAAAGACTATTATACTAATAGATTTAATCTCTTTTAAGGCCCTGTAGCATGCACAGCATGCATTCATATTTGGGTCATTTTATGTAGGTGGTCAAGAAAGTAAACTGAGCATAGGAAGGCAGGTCTTAAATATTTACGCTAATAGATGAATAAACATTAAGGAAAACTGACTGATCTGGAGCTACTTCTGGAACGTGTTCAGTGCAGTTTGTGGGAGAAGTCGAACCTATGTCCACCCACCAAGTCTGAGCTGGGCTAACTAGCTAACACTTACACAACTGATTTGGATTTATGTGAGAAACGGTCCAAACCTGCTTTAGAAGTCTCTGGATAACTTCTTGGTTGAGTACCAGAATACTATTTGTTCAACGGGACATACTTCCTTTACAGCTCAAGTTGAACAAAAAAATTAGGTAGAAAAGTCACAGGAATACCCCATTTACACAGAAGTAATATCCTTGCTTTAAGGGCTAATACATCTACTTAAATAAACAAAACCTACCAGACTGGTGTAAAAGAGAATTGTATTTAAATTTAATTTTAAAAAGCCTCATTTAAAGGTAATTGACTTGATTAGGAGCTAAAAAAACCTGGGCCTTTAGCCCAGAAATGTCTTGCACTAGGTCTTATTGCTAAGCTAATGTAAACCACATGAAGTCATCAGAAGACTAAAACTGACCTTCTAAACCATGCTGTTAGTAATCAGATAATCCTTACAAGTTACCCAATTAACTACTAATCAATTTGGCATTTGATCATTTACATAGCCATAACACCCCCATCTCTCTACCATTTCCTCCTCCCTCTAATGAAGCACGAACCTTGTGCCTCCACACAGACAAGTTTCTTGCTATGCACCTAGATGACTGGGGTCAGGATGAGTGAATGCTGTAGGTGAATGTGTTATCTGTGGGCATGTAAGTCTAAAGCATGGTAACCTCAGGAATTAATAGCAATAAAACCTAACTCCAAATCTGATAGCCAAGACCTATTTTACAGGCAGACCATAACCGACCAAGGAGAAGTATCTCTTAAGTCACCTTAATTCTAAATCACTATTTTATAATCTTAAAGAATCTTACATTTATTTTAACCTCCTGTACGTAACTGGATACAGCCATTGCCCATATCAATGTTGCCTACCAAAAATTAAGTAAGTACTAGACTGGCAGTAGGAAGGAGATATTTGACAGGTGCCTACAAAGGGAGACTGGCATTAACCTATGGTTGTTCTAACAGTATAAACCACTGGACTCTTACATACCTCTAGTCTGATTGCAAGACCGACATACTGTGTGGTCAACAAAGACGTGAGAGAATCTGCATTCAGTATTAGGCAGTTATACCAAACATCAGTGCTTGAACATGACAATACCACTCTGTTTCCATTTAAATATAAATGCAAAAGCTTCATGGTCACATACCTCATTGCAACATTGCTGCCATCGATAACTATGGGCCTCAGGTTATCACCATCCTCTGTCACATCCTCCTGCAGTGGAGACTCTGACCTCTGAGACTCTATGGAAGATGCTTCACGTATTACACTAGTGTTAGCATTAGTTACAGTCTGATCAGTCTCAGTTTTATTCCCAAGTTTGACAAGTTCTCCCAAAATATCATTTATTAAAGCATCAGTACCAAGTTTATTTAGTACAAGTTGAACCTGCTCTTCAGAGTAACCCAACTTAAGTGCAAACTCCAGTTTGGTTTGATATTCTTTCACCACATCAGGGGGCTTTTTGATTTCCTTAGGTACTATCTGAGCCTCTTCTATCCTAAAGTCTTGCAAGATTTCATTTCTTTTTAGTATATGAGGCTCTAAGCAAGGAGACCGGCACAGCTCTCGGTGAGTCTTAGGCAATAAATGTGATTCTGATGCAGAATTATTCAGTCTCTCTGAATCATTATCAGAATTTGTGCTTTCTTCAGAGTCACAGCTGGAGCTTCCAGAAGTCTCTTCAGATGCCTCCTTGTCTACATCTTCTTTCCTAGAATTAACCTTATCCATTGTTGGCTTCTCCGCCATTGACCAAGGTACAACTGCATTTATTTGTGTGCTAGTGCTGCCCACATAAAGGTGGCCTAAGTCATGCCCCAGATGATCCTTCAAGCCCATGAAGCTGCTGCATGTACTTGACTCCACTTTGTTGTTTTTCTTGTATTCCTGAATATAAAGTGTTCCGTATTCCTGAAGAGAGAACAAAAATGTTGCAACTGGTTACACATATTACTCGTTTTGTATTTTCTTGCTGCTTCCTCAGAACTGCATTATATTGTCTCCCAGCAGAGAAATATGACTTCTTTTTTTCTAAACATGGAAAACTTTTTTTGGGGAAAACTCTTCCTAAGGAATATCCATTGCTAAGCGGATAAACAACTGATCATATGCTTTCTTAACATCATCTTTTACTCAAACATTTCCAGAAATGGGTTTATGAAAGAATAGGCAACTAAGCACTGCAAGTTTACCTACTGTAACAAAGACAGAAGTCTTGTCATGATTTCAAGAAACCCAGATATTTCTTCTAGCTTAAGACAGTATAGTAACAATGAAAGAAAAAAAATGCAGCTATAAAATACAAGTACTAGAAAAGCTTTTAAAACTAAATACCTTAAACTCTCTATGAATAGAAAGACATTAGCATAGTACTAGATTATCTGGCTTACTAGGCAAATATAAGATATCATAATACATAAAATGAATTAGTAACAAAACCCATGATTAAATAAAAAACTTATTTGGCCTAAAAGACACTATCAGTTCAACTCAATACACTCAAACTATTTCTGAATTCCCTTATAAAGCAATAATTAAGTCAAGAAAGACTAATTGCTCTCAGAGTGCTAACATTACTAACACATACAGCATTTAGAGACATGGATTGATCTAACGGCCGATAAAGCCAATGGAAGTCTTTGCACTGATTGCAACAGACCATTCATCAAGCCAACAAGGCAACAAAATTAAAAGCTGATTTCAACTCTTGGATTAGACTTGTGCAAGCCTTTTCCCGAATCAAAACTATATATATATA